TATAGTTTTTACATATATTCTTATTTTTTTAAAAAAAAAGTTTGTTATTGATCGGCATTATGTTACATCACCTAATTAATTTAATTAGGGCATCTCACACCCCAATCCAACGTTCAAATTTTTCGTTGGTAATGCAGTTGTTTCAGCAAAAGCCGAATTTATAATTAATTATAAAAGATATGCTGTGTTGATCGTTAATGTCTGTATGTTCTTGATTGCTTGATATATCCGTATTTTTGTTAACTCAAATGATCTTTTAATAGGATAAACATCTAGCTAATGTTAGGCCAGGCAATGACTATGGGGAACCACAAATATTGGCTGAAATGCTTGCTAGTGGGGAAGAAAATATACGTCAATCATGATGTAGTTGTATTTGTAGTTCGTGTAATTTCAACTTACGTTACGTTTTATCTGTAAATGATATTGGGATGAACTTGGTGCAGGTTGCCCACGACAGCAATCAGTTACAATTTTTAGATGGCCAGGGGATAGTAGTGATCCATATAATGGTTTTGATCTTGCAGAACCAGATGGAAGAAGAAATGTGTTAGAATCATTATGCAAGATTCGTCATTACATCTTAGAATGAAAATCTACACTTGATTGCCAAAAGTTTATATCCAAAATTTCTTTTGCATTTATTGCAAAATATACTAAATAAATATTTGTGATTTTTATATCATTTGATAACTTTGGTACTTGTGACTGCGAATGTGATTTTTGATTTTTGATTTATGAAATTTTTATTATGAGATATTTTAAAAAGTAAAAGTCGATATTGAAATTTTAAAATGTTGATCATTTAAAGATAAGTTTTTCAAAAAAAATTTTTTTTAATAATTTTAATAACTTGTTGTCCACTTATTGTTGGAAATGCATTCTTCTATCCTTCTTGGCATACTAACAATTAATCTCAAATATTTTTCACACGGAATTTGTTGCCATTCTTCTCTCAAATAATTTTCTAATTCATCTTTATTTTTTTGGGTGTAGGGACGCTTTTTTAATCTTCTACCAAGCTCGTCCCATAAGTGTTCAATTGGATTGAGGTCTGGAGATTGAGAAGGCCAATCTTCATAATCCTTACTTTTTTTTCAGATAACCATTTTATAACATTTTTTACTGTATGAACAGGTGTGTTATCATCTTGAAATTTGTAGTGATTTGTAGAGAAGTTTTCTTGAATGAATAGCAACAATTCATTTTCTAAAATATTTATGTAATCTCGCTGATTTCTTTCCTGGTATGTTTACCTTTAAAAAGACCAATGATTTGAGATCTTTGGGCTACAGTGAGTTTGTGATTTTTACCGATAAGAAAATAATTTAGCGGGATCACTCTCCCAATTCTTTTTTAAAACGTTCAGAGGTTGTAAAAAAAAAATGAAAAAGAAATCACTTGATTAAAATCGAGCCTTTTCCAAAAATGTGTTGTTAAAGAAAATTAATTAAGCTTTTTTTGAAAAAAATCCTCTCCTACTACTAAAAATACCAGCAAGAAATTAATCCATTATTGATTTAGTATTAGCATCGCCACTAGAAAAACAATTTGGAATTAATTCATTTATTATTTAAAAAAAATATATTTAATTTAACACAAGAAACAAGTTCAAAACTGAGAACGCAATGCGAGCTTTGCTTTTTTATGCGTTACATGACCGCATTTCCATGCTACGCGAGAACAAAAATTGTGACTTCGTCGCAAAGAGCAAAAAAAAGACATCACTCCGGTCAAGACAATAGTCTATTTTATTAAATCCAAAACATATAAATAGGACAGCCGTCCCCATGTTTTTTTTTCGTTTTTTTTTTTCGTAGAGAAATTCCCTCAGCCACTACATCCCTGTCCATCTTCAAGCGATCAAGATAAAATTCAAGTTTACAAATGCACACTACGTTCAAACTATGAGATCATTTGTCGTTATACAACGTTATTACAGGAGAGACCGTCTGGTAACGCAAAATTTTAACCCGTGCAATTGTTGATTGACCAATCAAAATTATGAATTTAAAAATAAATTCAATAAAAACGTTTGATTCATTTTGTCAAAACAAATGGTTCGAATTTAAGTATATAGTTGGAAGCAACCATGCGACAAACCTTTGAAATAATCTAATAAATAAAGTTGTACTACTCGAAAATGTATTTAAAGGGTTGGTTTTTGACTTGGTTGAAAAATAGCTCTCTTCCTAACTCTTCTCTTG